AATAGTAAAAGCATACCTCTTATATCAATCTAATTAATGCATTAAAGGATATTAATTCTTTTAAATACTAATTCTAAGACTTAAACCCTATACCTATACCATATAAGAAGACATTTTATACATGAGTCTAACCCTTAGAGCTCACTCATTTAACAAATGTCTCCAACTAAAGTCAAGCTTGAATTGTCTTGCAAACCACCTATTTGGGGGTATTGGTGATGTAGGTGGATGAGTCAGCAACGGTGGTGACATGGAAGCTGACTAGGATGATACCTGAGAAAATGAGCGGGGTTCTTTCAGCGGCACCCATCTCATGTGCAAGAGGCTACATGTTACGGGCCATCCCGTTCCATTAGGTGATGATATCTCGCAGCGCACTTTCCAACAAAAACTTTTTAAGAGATGGACTTTTTAGCCAAATTGGTGGAGTTGGGTAGCAATAACGGGATTCTGGAGGTTCAAGGTGATCACACAACTACCAAAAACATGCTGGAGATAGGTCATGCGTTATTGAGGAAAGGCAACTAAGATGTAAAATACATATGGCTTGAAAATTATAACTTGAGAATCACACTCATACAAAAATCATTGTAACATGATAATAATGACAATAAATGTGACCCTCTTTCATCTTTAGTGCATATTTTTACTCTATAGCGAACAATCCTCATGTTGAAAATGAAGAGTGCAGCAACTACAATCTTGAGGTTCTTCCAAAGATAAAAGGGATAAACTTAAGAGTGATGATGGAAGAAGGAAGGATGGCCACTTGGGAGATTATGAATGTAGCGCTTGATCTCATTTTTTATGCTAACCTTGCAACCTTGATCATTTGATGCTCAAGAAGAACTATCCGAAAGCTGAAACTATAGTATGTTGTTCCCCAACCATAATATCTTGTAGGCCTGGGACTGTTCTGTGATGCTAGGTGTTATGTTGCAATACTGAAATATGTTTCACAGTGCTAAGAAATATTCTACAATGCTGGGAAATATTCTACAGCGTTGGGAAATATTCTGTAGTATTGAGAAATATTCTACAGTGTTGGAAAATACAAGAAATCTAGGAAAATAGTGATTTCCAAATGGTTTAAGGGTGTAGGGTAGGAGGTTGAAGGTAGAATATTTTTAAAGGAAAATAAAGGCTTTGGTGAGTGAGGAAGAAGGGCGACTTGCGTCTTCTTTGTTCTGTGTGTTTTCTTCTTAAAATGAAAAGCAGATATTTATATGTATATGTAGTGATATTGTTGTAATTTCTGGTTGGCGGCTTAGAGGTGTGCAGAAAGGTTAGGGTGAGCTGTCGAATTTTTGGTGGTTCTAGGCATTGCCGGCAACTCTGTGACAGTGGCATCATGAATTGCCCAATGGTCTTAGCGAAGTTTTGCTGGTTCTGGCGAAGAAACTGAAAATGGTATATTTTTGGCAATGTCCCCAGCCATATGAAATCCCATCTTTGGAGAGGTGCTTGAGTGCAACCAGCAAAAACAACATCTACATAGGATTTGGTGAGTTCCCAGGCTCTACGCAAGATTTTGGAAGATTCTACCAACAAAGAACAATCTTTTACAGTAGTTTTCAAGGCCATGGAACTTGTGTAGCCACCCTTGCATTAAATATGGCTGCAAGTGGCTGATGGTGACCAAGACAGCACCTCTAGTTAGTTTCTAGTAGGATCTTCAGTCTTTGGTTAGCATCAAACGGCACTGTTCTAGGAATCAAGTTCATTTCCATGCTTTTGCCACCCAGCCTCTTTTTGGCGAAGTCAGGCAGCATCGCAAATGCTAAGCTTCGCTGGTGCAGATGCCTTGCTTCGCCAGACGGGCAACATTCATCCATCCATGCCTGCCAAACCACTACTCCCATAATTTATCCCGAATAATTTCCATGAACTTGGATTCATGGGCTTGTGTTTATCTACAGTGACAGCAAAGCACATGTGAGTATATATTTAAAATTAAGAAATATATAGGCATACGCAGCAAAGAAGGAAACTCCCTTATGCGTTGAAGGGGGCTATGTGGATGAATATTTGCTTCTCTCATTTGCTTGCTGGCCATGGCCGACATCAGTATATTGCTATTGTACATGGCTGGCGTTGTACCCGAATGAGGAACAAGTGGTATGGGTGTGTACTGTGATATCATTGTCCCGAGCCAAACTTCGCTGGCCGACGATACCCACTGACACGTAAGATATGGAAAATATGTGTCATGAGTCGGGATTATTGGAGATTGGTAATTTCGTCCCTTTGTATAGAAGGGTGACTATGTGCATGACCTATAACCATGTTATGTATGTATTGAGGGGTCAACCATGCATAGCCTTCCCATAGCTAGAGGGACAACAGTGGCTAGCTTTGTCCACGGCTGGAGCATGAACTATGTGGAATCAGAAGAGCACTCCCACTAATCTGCCAAGTCGCAAAAGGATAAATCTCATTAAACCAGACTCTGCCATAGTGATAAATATGTATAGAGAAAGGTGAAGTTGTCTCCATGGAAGAGATAGTGATAAATATGTATAGAGAAAGGTGAAATTGTCTCCACGGAAGAAGGACGCCAGCCGCATCCATGGCCTCTGATACGACAAGGCGTGATACTACTGACAAACGTTGGCCCTTTTTGTCGTACTCGCACCTTCAGAGGGTGGTCTTGGTTGTTGTTGCCCATTAGGCACTGCACCACCATGCACAGGCGACCATTAAGGGACCGTCGACCACTACTTGATGGATTTTTATTGTTGGAGGGTAACCATCCCATCCGATCGTAGAGTTGCAACTATTACCAACCTCATGCTAATTGTACCAAGTTGCGTTGACTCTTTGTCTATTTCTAGAAGCCAGTGAGATAGAATATGTAGAAATCCAACCCTTTGTCTATTGCTGGGAGCTAGTGAAATGAAGATATGTAGAAATGTGTAGCCTTTTGTCCAATGCTAAAGGCTAAATGAGATAGTAAATCTGACCCTTTGTCCATTGCTGGGAGCTGTAAAGATATAATAAAATCAGCCCATTGTCTATTGATGGGAGCCATGCAGCAAAATAGGCTCTTTATCCATTGTTGTGAGCCAAAATATGTAGCAGTAAACATCGCTGCGAAGGACATGACTGTCAAAAATGGCCAACCATGTTGCGTAGATGATGTAGCCGTGTCTGGCCATCTGTAAGGGAATGATGCTGACATAGAACATGTTTGTAGCATTCCCAATGAAGTGGGTAAATGCCACTCCTGGCAATATATCAGAATAATGTTTAGTGCTGCTTTTGGCGATGTCAACTCCATTGCAGCAATTAATAAAAAATAGGAACTGCTCATCCGATGTGGGAAGTGAGCATTGTGGGCCCTCGTTGATGCGGATCCACGCACGTTATTGGTGATGTAACCATATAAACTCATCCCTCAACACCACCCTATTTGGATGTAGGTTATTATTTGTTTTTAATCCAACATGGTATTCTTTTAATTTAGTAAAATTCATTTTTTACACTTTAAATTAAAAAATTGCCTTGATGCATTAATCTTTTATTTTAGGGTCTTTAATTAGTGTGGATAAAATCAGTTTGAGGGAGTCAATACTATAATTGTGATGTGAGTGATCCGTGCTTAAAACGGAAAATTGAAGGTTGAATGTCAATTTTAGTCCTTCAACTTTGAACTTTTGTATAGTTTTAGTTCTTTAACTTTGTTATGTACTTTTTTAGTTCCTTAACTATGAAAAATGCATTTTTTAGTCTTTTTGTTACTTAGTCCATTAAGTATATTCATATATGCAAATTTTTAGTTCTTTAACTTTTAACTTGAGGGACAAAAATTGTACAATATTTTAAAGTTAGGAGACTAAAAATATGCATATATAAACAAACTTAATGGAATAATTAATGGAATGACAAAAAAAGTACATTTTTTCATAGTTAAGAGACTAAAAAAGTGTATAAAAAACTGAAAAACCAAAACTATGCAAAACCCTAAATTTAAGCGACTAAAATTGACATTTAACCAAAATTAAAAGTTGTTGATAGCGCAGGAGTGATTCATTTGTATGACAAAATAGGCCATTTTGAAGGGCAAGTAATTCAAATTTGGGGGAAAACGATCCAAATGGACAGTGAAACAATCCTCAAGTTTGACAAGGTATGTAACAACTTTACTGACCAATCATTCTCAACCTTTTTCGAGCTAGAGAAGCAAATGTCAAAACACACACAGAGCAGGTTCATCAATTTTTTTTTATTGATTTATTATTTATTTATTTTGATATTAATTTTAGGGACGTTGTACAATTATCTCTTAATATAGTTTATTTGTATATTATGCAATTTAAATTTAATATTTTTTATTTATATTGAAAGTAGATAACCAATAAATTACTTATACCATTTAAACAATTTATTGAGTATTTGCAATCTTATCTTCAATTAACAAGCAATTTATAATGAGGAGCAAATCAATGAAAAAAATTAAGAATCTAAATTTATTGCAATTTTATGAGACTTTCAACTTCAAAATTTTTAAGATAAAATTGATCTTGAGATGGAAGAAAATGGATGATTTTTGGTATGATTTCAAAAACAAAAATGGGGAAGTAGAGAATTCCCTATTGTATTCTAAAAGTCAATATTTTCAACTTTATATACTAAAGAAACTAACATCAATTTCAACTTAATTAATTTGTTCAAAATATCCGGAGCAATTATTTGTCAGAATCAAATAAAAAATATTTTTTCTCTTGTTTGATTTTACACTAAATTAACGGTCATTCATGACCTATACACACCTGAACATATATTTTTAATACACTGTATATTTATTTTTCTCCTGCTTCCCCTTGGTACATCCACATATATTATGGAAATACACAACCACATATGAATACGTTTGCATAAAGTCAAAGAGAGAGACGTGCAGCTGAGGCGGCTCCAACTCTAATTGACTTCAGCTCTCCCAAATCACTAGTTCCCTCATACACCCATATATATATGGGGGCAATCGTCCCTTTTGAATCCACAGCTCGTTTTTACTGTGTTCTCATAGTCCACTCTATCCATCCCTATATATTTCTCCATCACATCTTAATTTCTTGCAGAAGTGTGAACCTCCAAACTTACTTTCTTTCAAGGAAAACAAACAATGGGAAGAGCTCCTTGCTGTGACAAGAATAATGGACTCAAGAAAGGTCCTTGGACCCCCGAGGAAGATATGAAGCTTATCAATTATATTCAGACTCATGGCGCCGGGGACTGGCGTAACGTCCCTAAGAATGCTGGTATTGATCTATATCCAACCATAAATACTTCATTCTTAATTTATTTTTCTTATTTTAGACTTATCATATTGCAAGGTGGCCAATAGATATACAGTGAAGAAAAAGTCTTTCTTTTTCTGATATATTTGCTAAAACATGTATGCAGGACTCCAAAGATGTGGGAAGAGATGCCGTCTTAGATGGACGAATTACCTTCGGTCGGATATTAAGAGAGGAAGGTTCTCTTTTGAAGAAGAAGAGACTATAATACAACTCCACAGTGTGCTCGGAAACAAGTAGGACTCATCATTAATACAACATTATTTTTTTCTTTTATTTAATTCTCAAACCCTCGGAATCTTGCAAGGGAAGTTAAGTGTAAGATCAGTTAGGTGATCAACTATTTTTTTTTCTTTTTTTTAATGATATTAGGTGGTCGGCCATTGCTGCTCGCTTACCAGGAAGGACTGACAACGAAATCAAGAATTACTGGAACGCACATATCAGAAAAAGGCTTCTAAGAAATGGGATTGATCCTGTGACTCATTCTCCCCGACTCGATTTTCTTGATCTTTCCTCCATTCTCAGCTCAACTCTTTGTAACCAGGCCCTTTTCAGTTTATCGAGTTTGTTAGGAACCCAAGCTCTCCTGAATCCAAATCTCCTAAGGCTCGTAAACACTCTCTTGGCTATAAATAAATTAGAAAACCCAGAGACCCTTTTGCAGTATCTCCAGAAACACCAGTGTCAGGCTGCTCAGACACCTCCAGATATTTCAACTTGCACCACATCCACTCCACCTTCTACTAACCAAACGCAGCTTCTGCAACCAAACGGGGAAGTTTTGTTGCCAGAGATAGGGAACTTTGGATGCCAGAATTCCCAACAGAATCTACCTTTGAATTTTGGTGATAACAATACTTTTGTTTCGCAGCCAAGCTATGTTCCTCATGTTGCTGACAATTCAAATTTTCAATCTCTTGATGGAAGCCAGAATTTCAGTTTTGATTCTGTCATGTCAGATCCTATGTCGAGTCCGACCCCATTGAACTCGTCTTCGTTGATCAATCGTAGCAGCAGTACTGAAGACGATAAAGAAAGCTACAGCAGCATGCTGAAGTTTGAAATTCCAGAGAATTTAGATATTAGTGATTTTATGTAAATAAATATAGTTAATAATAGTGTGTTAATGCGGTTGCTTGTAAAGTGATGAATGAATGAATGAAAAACCATTTTGTTTTTTTGGTTTTTTCTTCTAGGATTCTACCTCGTAATTTGGCTGTTTTTGAGATTTTCATTGCGCTGGATGTATTGTTTTGTATTTTACTTGTTATTTTTCCAAATAAAAAATTCCTATTTTTGAAAAAAATTAATCTACAGCTCTTGCAGTAAGATACACTTTGAATAAATACGGTGATTGAAGGCTCGAAGCTGTTTATACAGAGATCAGAGATAGAAGGTTTTGGGACCAGTTGTTGGAGAATAAGATGTTTAAAGAGTTAAAAAAATGTGTCAAAATTCTAAATCAAAGAAGAATAAGAAATGAGCCATAAATTTAATAGCCATGTTTTTCTGTTTAAAATAGTGATTATTTGCATGTGTTTGTACTCTATGTACCTTTTTTTTTTTTCTTTCTTTCTTTCTATTGGTACAGGACAAGGATTTATTGGTGCTGTTCATTAAAAAATTTATTTATGAGAAATGAGTGGAAATGATTACTTTATCTGGGCATGTATAACTAATATAATGATATCTCTGTCGAGAAATATATAGACGCATTTATGAGAAATCGAAAGAATGTGCCAAAATAAAGAGAGAAATTGAAGATTAGAACATTAAAAATAGTTCCATTAGGTAAAACAAAATTGTTGAAAGAAAATCGAAGGACTCGTAAGGCTGGGCAAACAGTTAAGGAAAAACCAAACTTAAATAAGTCGCTTTGGACGGAGCTTATCCGTATTCGATCGAAATGGGCAGGTGTTGGGTGAAACCATGACTTTTTTTTTTTTCTTTTTTTGGTATTAATATCTTGATATCTAATAATTATATTAAATTTCGATTAATTTAGAATCGAGTTGTGTCGGATTCCATTTAGACGAAAACTCTCCCAACGCCTGTTATTCTATTCACAAGACTCAAATTCGTAATTTTATTTTAGAAGGACCAAGTTCCTTCCACTCGAATCAACAGGTCATTGGTTTAAACCACATAACCTTTAATCTGGTATTTAGTTAGTACAAAAGGTCCTTGCCCTGCTACGTGCCACAATTGACGCAATTGATGATTTGGACATGTTATTTTAAGTCAAAAAAATAATAATAAAAATAAAATCACGATGATTTGATATTTTTTAATATTAAAATATTTAATAATAAATAAATAATAAATTTGATAAAATTAAAGTTTAATTATATTTTACACATTTAATAGTTATAATTAGATATGTTGTTGATAGTTCCACATGTTTGGGTCAAGTAGTTAACCACTTGCCCTTTAAGTGGGAACACCCTCCGGGTTTAAGTTTCGATTCTCCAAAATGAAATGTTTCCGCTTCCCTTTAAAATATTAGTACTATTTGTAACTTGTAAAAAAAAAAAAAAATTAGATATGTTGATTTTTTTAATATTAACACATTATAACTTTCCTTTTTTTCTAAAAAAAAAAGGTTGATGCATATTTTAGTTTTGCAAAAATTTCTTAAAACTAGAGTTGATTACCTTAATAATCATATCAACTAGCATTAAAGCAACCTTAGCGTGGAAAGCAAAGAAAGAATTAGTTAATTACCCAAACTATTAACAAATTGGCAAAGCCTAGGAAGTAGGGGTGTTTATATCCAAACTAATTCGCTTTATCCCACTTGATCTAAACCAATCTAATTAAAAATCAACTAACACCCTTATTTAATTGAATTAATTTGGATATAAAAACACTACTAGAATGCATGGCATCACCAATAACAAACCATGTCGGAAACCAAAGGACATCTCGTTGGCAAAAACTGTTTCCAACTTAAACCATGTTGGTATTATACTTGTCGGTGTAAGTCCGCTTAGTAATTCATTCATTGACATGACTTAAAGTTACGTCTACAAATTACTCAACATTACGGACAAAAGTCATGCTTGTAACTGGCTATTGGAACCATACTGCTGGAGCTCATTTCAGGTAACTCATGTTGGTAAATTGCCCAAATTACCAACGAAAAGCATGTCTCTAAATCTATAGCTGGATTCCTGCAGCCGGGCTAATTTTTGGTAAGTCACGTCGATAAATCACCAACGAGAAGAATGTCTGAAAAATGGACGCCATAGTTACCGATGATCCTAACATTGGGATTGGATATATTTTTATAATATTCAACGTTCTTTTACTGAGAAAGATCTAATCAGAAGGTTGATTTAGGAATTTGCAAAAAAAAAATTTATAATATTCCTCATGCTTTTACCAACAAAGCAAAAAAATTGGTATAGGAATTTGTAAAAAAAAAAAGAAGTTACATCCAGTTACTGACAAAAATAACATTGGTACACAGATCTTCTGAAAAAAATAGTTTGTTTAATAAATATTGAAATTAATGTATATTTTTATTTAATTTAATCTATTTACGGTTAAATATTACTTAATTTATAACTGATAATATTGTAAACAATAAATATAATATTAAAATTTTACAATAAAAATAGAAATTATTGAATTTATTTGCCAAAACTATTAATTAAGACTAAATTAAAAAATAAGAATAATAAGACATTTAAAATATAATTGAATAGCATAATAAAAAAAAAATTACCTCGATTATAGAATTATAAATAAATTGATCAATAACTTAAATTCATGTTTAATCAATTAGGGAGAAAGAATGGAAGAGAAAAAGAGAGGAGATTGAGAAGATATAAACCAAAATTAACATAAATATAATATAATTATAAACATGATAAAATTCAGCAGCATTTTAATGGAAGAGGAAGGAGGAGAGACATATAAGGGAGGAGAAGAAAGAAGAAGAAGAAGAAACAAAATAAACGGGCTATGTAGTTGTGCAAATATTTGTTAGTATTGTTTTTGCCGACATAATACACATAGGTAAGATAAAAGTTTCTATGGGAGCAAAAAAAAGCAAAAATTTTGTGATCTCGCCCTTTTTTTTTTTTTTTAACTGACAAGATTCTTGTTGGAAAGTTTAAAACCAAAAATTTTGTGGTTCATGCCATCATTCGTCAACAAATGCATGCTGGCAAGTTAAAAGCAAAAATTTGGCATTCCTACCATCAAGATTGTCGACAAAGTGCATGTTGGAAGGTGAAAAGGTGACCATTTTTCCAACGTGCACCTTGTGGATAAATGCTAAGTCCCCCCTCAATTCCCAAATTTCTTTCTTAGATTTCATTCCATTTTCATGTTAATTTCTAAATTTATCCAACAGATTTCTTGCATGTTAGTAATTTTAGTGGACATAAATTCTAAAATAAATTTGACAAAGTTTCCTTATATTTATGATAAAAAACCAATTTTTTTAAAACTTACATTGACAATGAAAAACACTTGTTCTAAAACTTTACTAAAAATAGTTATACATTTTCAACCACAATCACAACCACAAGCACATACCATTGTCCTAAATCTCTATAATATTTAATTTTGAATTTATTCAATATGTTTTTTGCATTTTTGTTACTTTAGTGGGCAGAAATTCTAAAAAAAATTGGCAAAGTTTCCCCATATATTTGATCAAAGCCTAGTTTTTTTTAAACCTACATTTGCAATGAAAAACACATATTCTACAACTTTGCCATACTAAAAGCAATTATTTCTTTTCAACCATAACCACAACCATAAAGTATATCAACCATATACCATTGTCCTAAATACTTATGATATTCAATTCATAATAATTAACCCCCAAAGCAGTCTGAAAGTTCATACTTTTTGAAGTATGATTACTGGAGATCAAGCAAAATATGAAAAGATAGCCCAATAAAAAAGTTAAAGCTAGCAATTACAAGTATTAATAGAAGTAAAGGCAACCATGCAAAGTGTGCAGATAAACAAGCAGAAAACAAAACTAAGGAGCTTGATAGTCTAGATGGAAAATAGGATGGTATACATCATCTTGAGGTGGAAGCTACTGTTGATATTCAAGCAACATAAGAGAGGTCTGTGTAGAATAAATGGAGCAGGTTATAGTTGTATTTACGCAAAGACCTAGGCCCTAACTAGGTGGCAGCTGTGGTGGGGCAAATGGAGGATGACTTGCCTAGAGAAAGATGCCATAAGCAGCCAAAGCTGCCACAATAGACTGTGCAATTGTCTGGCTCATATTATTTGGGCTTATGTCATCTGGGCTAGCTATTGTAGCATCATAGCCATTTGCAAGCATTGCCTTTCTAACTCTTCATTTTGTTTTGCCATAAGCTCATTCTAGTGTGCCTGCTCCTCGGCAAAGCTAGACATCATCATTGCTACCATCAAGTTATCTCAGGGTTGTCTCTTCCTATAAGTAAATCCAACATCTTCTAGATTTACTTGGGAGCCAATCCCTAGCATGAAACTAGACGAGCAACCTCCAACAACCTTAACCCATGCCTCGTGATCTATGTGTGGCCATGAACTAGCATCAGAGCCATGGGTCTCCG